GAAAGAGTGGGTTTAGATGCCGTGTCACGAGAAAATGCAAATTGTAATAACACGGCTCTGAATTATTATTCAAGTGTCCTGATTACGAATTTAAATCCTTTCGCTTCAACCAATTTTCGACGTTGCTCCGTCTTTGGTCTGGTTGCTAGGTTACCGTAACGTGTTCTAGTGTAAGAACTAAACATGACCACTCTTGTCTTCTTGCTTTGCATCCGTTTAAAGTCGTAGAAGTGAGACTCTCATAAATAAGCTCTTCCTTTGCGTCTGAGGGGCGGTGCCTCCAGGAGCATTTCAAAACGGACGAGAAATTTGACGTACTTACTGGGAGACGTAACACGAGAAAGAGTTGGTCCGTCGGCACGGTACGTCTCGAGCAGTTAAGTGTTTCCTCCCAAATGACAAGATTAGAGACGCCTTGTAGACTCCAGCGTGTTGTCTGTCTACTCACTCTGTGACGTCACACGACTGACTCTTCATTTATGGTTTGATCCCGGAGAGATTTCTAACTCCATGGATCTGAGTAATTTTTGAAAAGCCTACAGTCAGTCAGGTGATCAAGAAATTATGCAATCAGGAGGTTCATTACCGCCGTTGTACCCCGCAGATAAACACAGTCTGTCCTACACCGTATTTTTTCAATGTCATTCTATCTATCTAGGCTTAACATATGAGATTTTTCTAGTTAGTATCCTTGCAGATTTATTGATGCTATATCAATGTTTTTAATCGCAGCTGTTTAGTCACAATTAGAATGTGATAATTCGAAGGAGAGTTGTCATTTTGTTACTATTTTAGGTCGACATCCGGTAAATATTTGAACTTTAAACACGGACATTGTTTTGAGGAGACTTCGTATCGTATTGTTTCCTGCCAAAGACATTTCTGGCAGATCGTTCCTGTGGTACGGCACATCTGGAACAGTCGCATCGTCCAGATCCGAGTCTTTTACGGAAATGGTAACTGTCTAGTTAAGGGGAATAATTTGTAACATACCGCAGGCCTTGCCTTTGTTCTTGCTGGTGGGGTGAGAGAAATGAATCCTGTTGCTGGTAGTCTGGACCCGGGATTAAACAACCCCCAACCCCGAACTTCGCAGCCTGTGCATTAAACACTGGACTGTGTTTCGGAGGAAGTATGTACACTTCAGCCTCCCCCTACACACACCACAACCCGGACGGACCGGGGAGGCGATGCGACGTGACGCGTACATAACTCCTAGGGGGTGTTTCTACCACTGCCCTCTTTGGCGATGTGCACGGACCAACCGAATCGCCCCGATACAATCTCCTGAACATAAATATCGATGATTTGAATGACTGTTCATATCCCCTCGGCCGTTTGAAGTGCGCGTTTCACGTGGGGTGGTTTCAGCTGTAGTAATTTCAGTGCCCTGCGTAGGTGTATCGGAATTTTATGTATATATATTTTTTTTTATATTTTGTGAATAGTTGGTTCTACATGTCATGCCATGGTGAATCCAGCGCTACGTCATGTCTGATAAATCGTTACATCTGTGTGTGTTAAAATATGGTGAATTCAGAATACAGCGTGCCGGGATTTTGTCAGAATGAACTGTGCTGAATTAAATTGCTCACTAATTATGGCATTACTTTCTCCCGCTGACGAAAAAACAAAATGTTATTCAGTGCTGTAAGCAGCACGTATTCGTACTTACCAAAAATCGCTGATTTTTTTTAAGGAACTTGTTTGATGTCACAGAAATTTCGAATTGTTTATCGCCTTTTCGCGGCCTGGTGATCGCTTTATGCATTAAACGGTGTCGCTAAGCAGGTGGGCGTACGCTTTATAAAACCACATGTGGTATCGTCTCAACCGCGAGGCGCGACGTGGATACAACTGGAGCCGGGGGGGAGGGGGTTCAAAATGGACCTGCGGTTGTTGGTTTGCTGGGGGTATGTGCGGGGTGGAAGGGGTGAAATTTGCTGAGTTGTCGAGAAGTGGGAGAATGGAAGAGATAGCTTGGGTATATATGAAAAAGGTTGAATTAAATGGAGCATATAGTGATTAAGCAAGCAGGGACTATGAAAATACAACGTTACAGAGAACGATTTTTTTTAAAAAAAAAAAACTATATGGACCGATGTGTATGTCGGAGTGGTCGGAGTGGTCGCAGTTATAAAATTCTCTGTTTACTGCCGTATCGCTGGGTCTGTCGTATTCGCACAGCGGAGTACATGGATCGAAACCAATTTCTGCTTTGTGTGTCTGTGGAATGGACAATTGACGGTATACGCCGGCTTAGCTATTGAGATTTTCCAGCTATTTATTCCCAAAACGAAACGGGACTCCGATGTTAACCCAAGATACGGAACTTTGCGTTTACTCGATACGAGCAGACGAAAATCTTCTGCTTCGTAACAAGCAGAAGATGTTCGTGATTCATCAGCAGTAGGAATTTAATGTCGCCATGGAAACACACAAGAAGATTCTTTTCCTGTGCCAGAAGTTCAGCATTGCTTTTTGTTACTGACCGGCAGTGGACGTATATTCATGCATTAACCACGCAGAGAAATTCGCCTGGAATGGAATAAAAAATCATGGTTTCTCTTTTTTTAAATTACCTTACGTAGCAAAGTCATTCAGAGTTCGCGTTACTGCGGCAGTGAACTCAGAATACGGGTCCATGAATTACTAATTATGAAATTATAAATAGAACGCTAGATGCCGGCTTGTCATCTCGGGGACCCTGGTTCAGTCCCGGAGGGCAAATTGGAGCTGTAGCACGTTTTCCCACCCGCTAATCATCATTCCACAGCTGCTCTATATCCATCTGTCACCGCCCCACGGGCTCTGAGCAAGCAACTCGTTATCACACCCTGGCCTTCGTCTCTGCCCTGGCACTTGGCGATGGCAGTCGTTGGTGTTGTATCTCTAATGAACACACAGTGAACACGCCACGCCGTGTGATGAGTCCTGAGACCGAGCTGAGTGGGGAAAATGTTTCGGATTTGTATTTAGAGGGAAGGGGGGTTGGAATTTCTAATCTTGGGGCTACGCGATTTTAATATTTTCTGCAACAGTTTTCAGGGCAATACCGGCATATTATTTCAGTATTGGCCGTTACCACCTCCTTCCAGATCCCCTTTCTGACAATTCGAAATAAATTTTCCTTGTCATTCATGCCAACTCTGCAGTTCATATTTACCTCCACGAAGAAAAGCGGTGATATTCCCTCATCTAGTCAAGACATTCTCTGTCTTTTATTTTAAACCCAAGATCCATCGCCTTGTTCACAAAAGCATCGTATCCTATGCCAGTTGGATTCTGTTCATTCCATTTGTCTCGATAAGGGATGGGAAGACAAAGGCATTCTGGGTAGATATTCCGGATTAAAATTCATTTCCTGTTTCAGAACCGTGGGGACACTGAATTTGCCCACTCTTAGTCGACGTTGGCGCTGAAATGATTTACAATATGTGACGTCCATCGCCTTGTTCACAAAAGCCCACCATTGCATCGTATCCTATGCCAGTTGGATTCTGTTCATTCCATTTGTCTCGATAAGGGATGGGAAGACAAAGGCATTCTGGGTAGATATTCCGGATTAAAATTCATTTCCTGTTTCAGAACCGTGGGGACACTGAATTTGCCCACTCTTAGTCGACGTTGGCGCTGAAATGATTTACAATATGTGACGCGCGACCCTGCATTTCTGGTCTTGACAGATTTCGAATTGAATAGCAAACTATTAGCTTTATGAATATTTGAGACTGGGTATTGTGGGCTTCTTGTGTTTGTGACCGAGTGTGTTCTTGGAGGCGATTCTTTCTCCTCGCTTAATTATTGTCCCGTCCTCTTATGACACCTCATACTTTGCTTGAAAGGATTCTTCATTGTCTGGTTGATCCCCACTTCGGTGTAATAGAATGTCGCTTTTATTTTAACATGCAACGAGAAAATTGCGCGCTTTAAGTCGACCTTTCAGCTCCGTTATCGATTGTGGCGTCTCGCTCCTAGCTTCAGAGTACACGAGGGGTTTGGGGGGGGGGATCTCAGAATGAGGGACTGAATGGGGCACGGCGGTCAGACGACGCCAGTGTGTATGGTCTCCCTGTGTTTTACACAACAAACAGAATTGTTCTTCGTGTTTAGTTGAAATCAACTTTTTCCGTCTTTATTCAAGTACACAGATTTTATAGTGTACATTTAGAAGGCGACTTTTTTGTATGGGTGTTGAACTTGGTCTCTTGCCGTATCTGAAAAGGGTGTTGATAATATTTGGACCTAAGAGGGATTAAGTGAGAGGATGGTGGGGAAAATTACGTAATGGGCAGGTTTATTATTTTTGCCAAATGTTGTTAGGGTCGCGAGATATATGGTGCATGTAGCACGCATAGGATGAATCAAGTCCAGTCCCTGCCTCCCTGTTTTCCTAAGATAAATTTTAATATTATCCTTGCTTGTACTCCCAAGTCTTCCGAGTGGTATCTTCCCATGCATGCTACGTACCGCACCCATCTTGTCCTTGATTTGACGAGCTTTCGCACTCGAGCAAAACAACAGATACAATTAAGGCAAGTCTGGGAAAGGAGTGAGTGGTTATATGAGGGTCAACATGGGTTTAGACCAGGGTACTCATGCGAAAGTCAAGTAGTCACGGTTTGTCAAGATGTTGCTGATTCATTGGACGAGGGAATCAGGACTGATGCGGTTATAATAGATTTCTCAAAGGCATTCGATTTAGTCCCACACGATAGGCTGATTACAAAAATTGCTGCAACCGGTGTGGACTTGAGAGTAGTGTTATGGGTAAAGGAATTTCTCTTAGGACGTTCGCAAAGAGTAAGAGTGGAAGGACAGCTATCTCATGAAGTCAGGGTAACGTCAGGAGTGCCGCAAGGGA